TTCTTGTTGTGGGGCTTCTTCTATCTCATCGTCAAAGATACCTTGAACTTCATGATCTCGAGCTTGAAGGTCGTCAGCTGCTTGAGCTTGGTGTGCTTCGCCAGGTTGTTGTGGACCTTGCTGATCATCATCCAGTCTGCAATTTTCTTCATCTCCAGGGTCATGTTGGTCTCCAAGTCCTTCTTCCTCCCCCCGTGGTGCATCACCACGTTCCGCTTGTAGGGTTGGTTGATCGGCAAAGACCTTGACCACTGTCGATCGGAAGAACTTGCCTGTCTCATCGCTTTGAACATAGTAGCCAAGAGACGTAGTTGCCATATCAGCTGCAGGTCCCCACAATCTAACCTTCTGCATGGGGTACTTTAGCGTGTCATCTCGCTTTTGCCACAACTTCTGTTTGACCATTGCGTTCATCCCAAGCGGCAAAAGTTCTGGTGTTGTGACACCCAAAGCTTGTAGCTGTCGCCGTAGTCTTTGTTCGCCAACATGTCTGAGTGCAAGAGGCCAAAAATGCGTTGGTGCCCTTGAGGCTGTCAGCACCGTTCTCATCCTCTGTTTCAGCTCTCTGACCTCCCTTTCCACTCTGGCGTTTTGTTCACTTCCTGAACTCATTGTGTGGAACAAGTCATGGTCTCTGATCCACTTTTGAAATCCCTTGCCCACAAACTCCTTAGCTCTGTCTGTATGGACTCGTTGAACTGGGAGTGCCATTGCCTTGGTCTTCACGTAGATCTGCGCCACCGCTTGGAGCAAGTCATCGTGGTGGCGTGACTTGAGAGGCACCGCGAACGTCAGGTTCTTAACAGCCTGAGACTTTCTGTCCTGCAAAAAGTCCCTCCGTCGACGTTCACGTACTTCTTGTTGTTTGATCTCAGCCTCCGTCAGCTCCTGTTGGGGCTCTTCATCTACTTCAGGAAGTTGTTCAAGCACTGCATCTTGTGGCAACACTTCCGGATCCTCATGCATGAAGTCGTCATCCACATCACGTCCTTGTTGGTGTGGCAAGTGAAGTCCCGCCAGTCCTTGTGGTAGAGGGGCTCCATGTTTGTCGATTGGAACCGTGTACGTCGCCACAAGACCATATCTTGGTCCCTTCAACTCCTGGTCTTTCCCTTGGACGAATGGTCCCATGATGTCCAGTGACAGACAGAAAGATGTTGGGCATTGAAGCTGTTTCCTGTACCGATCTGCTCCTGCAGCACGAAGGCATACTTCACAGTCCTTGCGAAAGGGTAGATGATCGGCACAGAAATGTTCCTTCCATTCCATGATCTCCTTCTGCTCCTTCAGGGTCAGGGCCTTCACCATGGTCTCCTGCTGCGACAACCTCTGAATCGCCATTTTAAGAAGTCCCTTGAGTCCCGTTGCCCAGGTAGCAAGTTCTTTGGAGAACTGCCTTGCATCTTCCATCCATCGACCCCCTTTATCTCGTCGAGGTCGGTGAGCAAAGTTGTCGGCTTAGTTGTAGGATGCCCCAAGCTTCCCTGATCCACCTTGACCGTCGTGAGGTTGTTGTCTTCAACCATCTGTAGTGTCTCTGGCCATTGCAAAAAGGTTGGAAAACCAGCATCCGAAGCCACAAAACTGTGTCGTTGTCGACCGTGTTCTGCTCTGCATGGGTAAGGCCTGGCAATCCAAACCTCAGCTGTCCATAGCGTCCTCGTAGAGGTCGAGGTCCTCGGTCTGCTTGTGCCACGCTTCTAAACCTGCACATGCTCACTGTCCTGCATGGTGGTCCTGCTAGCACTTGGTCGATGCGACCTGCTCTTGCAAGCTCCTCCAGGTAGGCCATAAGGTCGTTGTTCCGCATGTCTGCACCCTTCTTGAGCTCCACCTGGATCACCTCTACTCCGTTGCTTTGTCGTTCCAGTTGCTTCCAAATCTTGTCATCGTCGCCTGAGTACAGGTGAAGTACAACGAACTTCGCCTTTTCGATTGCTCTTCGTTTACTTCTGTTCCATGGCGACCGATCTGCATTCCATTGTCCATGACAGGCCACGTTCTCAATCAAGTAGCTTGGAACTTCTGGAAACATCTTCTGTGTTTCTGCAACGTTCTTCTCATATTCCGTCTCGGGTTCCAATTCCTTCCCCAAGATTGCAGATATCCTTGCATGTCACCACATTCCTTGTTCACCGTCGGACATCCCTGAACCATAGTGACTGGTAGTCGTTGGTGTTCTGCATTTTCCACCACGCACTCGTCCTTGGTCCACATCATGTTGTAACCTGTTTGCAACATCTTGCTCACTGGTACGATGGCTTGCACTGGCTCCATTGTCAGCAACGTTCCTGTCTCTTTGCATTGTCTCAACTGAACTGCTCCTGTTGCCAACTTCACTGTTACTGGTTGTGCTCGTTGCCATTCATGTCCACCTCGAGTTTGACGAAGACAGTGTGTTGCACCTCCGTCCAACAGGGTTGTCATCTCCTCATGTGGCTGGAGTTTTCGAACTTGGCAGACTCGAAGTCCTGGTTCTTGTCCTCCACCCTGTGTCACTTTCAAACTTTTCAACAGCGTTGTGACATCCTCCGTGACTCCTCCCGTCGAGGTCGTATACGAGCTCGATGTTGAAGCTTGCGCTGCTGTGGATGTCGTAGGCGTCGAAGTGGTTCCATCTGGAGAGGTTGAAGATTCAACCAACTGTTGAGTTTTCACTGCTGCCTTTTCTTGGCCTTCAGGAGTGGTATTCTCCGGAGACTTGCTCTTTCCTTTACTCTTTGACTTGCCCTTGCCAGCAAACTTCCCTGTCGTAGGCGTAGTGGGTGAGTCTCCTTTTCCTCCTTGGGCTGCTTCACATTGTCTAGCCATGTGCTTGGTACTGCTGCACACATAGCATCTCGAGTACTTGTCTGGAAGCTTGTCCCAGTCGTGCACAAATTTGCACGTCCTTCCCAACTTGCAACCTGCATCTGTTCCCCAGTTTCTGCACGGCTTTGTCGGAGTGACTGGACTTCCTTGTTGTCCTTGCGGTGAACCTCCAGTCTTTCCGTTACCCTTATTGCCTTTCTCGACGTTGCCCATAGCCTTCAACTTTGGGTTGGCTTCTGGTGTTGACGTCGTCGATGTTCTTGCCGCTGTACTGAGGTGCAAGTGGCCTGCCTCGGCGATGAGCAACTGCAAGTAGGACTGCATAGTCACCTGTGTAGGCGCCACATCAACCATGTTGCTCATCCTGAACGTGTTGACCCTGAACGACGCTTGTTGGTCTCGTCCAAGAACCTGCTTCATGATCCGTCTTTGCGAAATGCGTCTTCGGAATTCGTCTTCAGGGTGTATAGAATTCGTCTTCGGGATGCAATTCGTCTTTCGGGGTGGGCATCCTCTTCGCGGAATGCGTCTTCGGAATTCGTCTTCGGAATTCGTCTTTGTCTGTGGATGGAAAAGTGATACCCGCATAGCGGCCAGGATGTGTGTATACATTTTTTCACAATGCATCCAATATTTTCTTCCGGGTTGTATATGTATGTATATGTCAGAAACTATGTCAGAATAGTCTCAAGGTGGGCATCACGGGATCACTCGAAGACAGTAATTAGTTTGGCAGTAACTGTGTTTTTGGCGGTGCTTGTTCATTGGTGTTCGGTGCAAAACTCCGTAACGCGGAAGTGCAGCTTCCAAACTTCCTTTGGCAATTCACAGTTACAGTGTAAGTATTCCGTGACAAACAGCGCATACCCTCCTGAATCTATCCAAGTTGCAGTTTCCATCTCCGAACTTTTGTGAGGGCACGCTCCATCCAAGACCCGACGAGCAAGGTCTCAACTCGTCCGAACCGTCCTTTACGCTAGACCATGAAGGAATCCTGTCGATCGCCTGCCAAGTGACACAAATCCAGGAAAATTTTGAAGCGGAGCTCTGCCCTGGTGCCAGAGTCAGAATGTCATGGATCATATCATATCCTACAAGTACGAACAATGTATCATGTTTTTTCATGTTTATTTCCAATCTCACCGTAGACCTGCAGAATCAAATACTGACTCCTTCAGGGTTCAGTCATGCTTTCCTCACCAAGTCACGGCTTCACACTGTGGATCCAAAGTTGAAACGCCGCTGGGCAGGCTACCAGGGCAGGGTAGAACCGGCTGGTTGCACTGGGTTCGGTTTGGGATTGGGCATTGGCAAGCCGTGCAATTGTACACAAAAGACTGGATCTCTTCATCTTCGCATTCCGGACACTCACACCTGCCATTACCGAACTTCTCCTTGTTCAAGAGCCAGTCAATAGTCCTGCATCTGATCCTTTCAGGCTGAATGTTGTACTCGTCACAAGGATCAGGAGGAAGAGCTGGAAGAAGAGGTCCAGGCAAAAAGATTGTGGTGGTGCTGGTGGTCTCCTCTGCCTGGCTCGTGGTGCTCGTGCTTTCGGTCGTGGTGCTGGTTGTTTGCTGCAACTGCAGCAAGAGCGCATCCTGCTCTCCTGCACAGCCATTGATCAACCCTGAGGTGCTGATGCAATTTCCGCCGCATGCTGCAAATGCAGGTAATTTTCATATCCATCAAACAATTGGATCTTGGGCTCTTGGGGTTTTGAATTTGCCCCGAGTCACACAACCTGTCACAGTAATACGTTCCTTCTGATCACTAGCATCGTTTTCTAGCCCTATAATGATACAGTACCAGTAACAAGGTCTGATGTTGCGCAGTTGCCATGACTTGTTATACTCATCATTGCAAAAGGTGTGGTTTTGGAGCCAACATGTTGGACTGTTGGACAATTGTGCTTCCAACTCCTGCCACACATCCTCCAGGACTGTCGCAAGAAGAAGGCTGGCTGACTGCCACGTCGAAGAAGCTGAAAAAGAGCGAAAGCCAAGACGGCATCAAAATCGCCAAGCGGCTCTTCTTTTTCTTCTTCGCCATCACCATCCTCGCGGAATCAGGCAAGGCGGGGGAAGTCTTCGTCCGCGGCAAGTTGTGGTAGCCAAGTTGGCGGCTTGAGCGAGGCTGTGGGCCAAACTGCCAATCGGCATGTAAAAAAACTCTGCTCAGGCTGCACAACAACCAACTTTTGTGGGTCACCGCTCCGCGAAATCCGTTGTCAGAAACAGCATTGCGGTCTCCTTTTTGGACGCTCGGAAACAGATCACTGCGAAGCATCATTAGATGATTCGTCTTTGAACTGACAAGGTCCGGCCCTATGAGATTTTGTTGTTAGTTTCTTTGTTTCCTGCATTGCGCTGCAATTGTTTGCTGCATTGCGCTGTAATACAACTCTCATGAACTTTGTTCATGACGAAATCCGATAATTAGTTAGTCCTCATGTTTTCCGTACTTCAGTTGTTGTGTCAAAACAATAAATGCAAGGCATCTATCCTTCATCAAAACAAGGAAAAAATCTACCAACAATCTCTTTTTCCGCACCTGCCAAGTGAGGGTTGTTAGATTTTATCAGAGTTGTTCTCCTTCTTCTCCTTCTCCTTCTCCTCCTTCTCCTCCTCCACCACCTCTGCATCCACTTCCAGGTCCACTTCTGCGACTTCCATGTCCACTTACTTCCGCCTTGCCAACTCTTCGCCAAGCTCTTCGCCAACTTCCGCACGCAGTGGGCACTGCTGGACCTCAACTGCAAGGGTCTGAGCGCGCAGTGGGCACCGCTGGACCTACCCTGGGACCTGCCGAGTTGAGACAGCACCGCTGGACCTCAACCTGGGACCTTCCGAGCTCAGTGAGCACCGCTGGACCTCAACCTGGGACCCGCCGAGCTCAGTGAGCACCGCTGGACCTCAACCTGGGACCCGCCGAGCTCAGTGAGCACCGCTGGACCTCAACCTGGGACCTTCCGAGCTCAGTGAGCGCCGCTGGACCGCAACGGCCAGAGAGAATGCCAGAAGATATGCCAGATAGAACGCCAGATAGCATGTCAGATAGAATGCCAGAAGATCTGCCAGATAAAATGCCAGAAGATATGCCAGATAGAATGCCAGAAGATATGCCAGAAGGTATGCCAGATAAAGTGCCAGAACCAGATAGAATGCCAGAAGATATGCCAGATAGAATGCCAGATAAAATGCCAGAAGATATGCCAGAACATATGCCAGATAGAATGCCAGAAGATATGCCAGAACATATGCCAGAAAATATGCCAGTTAGAGTGCCAGAACATATGCCAGATCGATGCCAGAAGATATGCCACATAGATTGGCAGAAAGTGGGCCAGAAGATATGCAGGATAGAATGCCAGAAAGAAGATTTGCCAGACAAACGCGACTAGAACATAGGGACAAAGAATGGCAGAAGATAACCCAGATAGAATACAAGACCATGTCGAGTAGAATTTTAGTGGATCACTCGCTTTGCTGGGTTCTGGGTCAAGCAAGCTCAAGCCAAAGCAAGTTGTCTTGTGGAACTGATGATGTGTTTGAGCAGCCATGCATCATGTTTATGTTAGCAGTTTGTATTGGTTAGCAACAGCTTGCGCAGGTTTTGAATTGCAGCACTTGCATGACAGCAGTTGCATGACAACACTTCTAACTGACATGTGTTTCAGCAGGCATGCATGAGGTTGATGTTAGAAGTCCGTATGGGTTAGTAACAGCTTGCTTAGCTTGTACATGACAGAATTGGTATGACAGCGGATGCATGACAGTGCTTCCTAGATACATTTTCTTACATCGGTTGTGCCATTGATGCTTGCTGGAGGCTGGGCACTGTTGATGCCTGTAGCGCATATGCATTGCTTGCATGTTTCTTCTGTGGCAGGTTCTCTGCCGTGGCAAAGTTGCGGCCATGCTACAGGCTCTTTGCGCATCAAAACATGCAGAAACCATTGTATACTGATGTTATTGATCAAAACATTGATAATATATATTTATGTAGCTGGTGTAGATCCACTGAAGTTTGGTTATATTCAATCATTTGAGGCAATAGCAGTGTTTTGGAGTCACCGGTGTTTTGCAGCTATGGTGAAAAGTTCGTGGCCTACTGGAGTGACCAGTTGGGCTGACACGGTGAAATTTGTGCAGCTACTGTCGCCACACAACAGCAACTAAAAGGACCTGGTTCTTTGCATACCCCCTTGGCAAACAACAATTTCCAAGGGAGCATGCAAAGAACCAGGTCCTTTTAGTTGCATTCGGGGGCTACTTGCCGTGCAGTTGGATGTTTCATGCTATTGCAACAGTTGGATCCTGTGGAGCACTTGCATGTATGGCCACACTTGGCGGAAGCAATGCTTGTGGTGGAAGATAAACTAGCTGTTGTGATGACTGGTAATCCTGCTCCTATGTGATGACTGGTGAGCATGGGTGCAGTGCTTGTAGGCTTTGATCCCCACCAGATCTGTCATGAAACTAAGCGGTTTCTGGACACAGAACTTCCCGACATCACAGCCGCCATGCTTGTGAGCTCGCCCACTGCGCCCACTGGGCAGCTCACACGCATGGCTGCTGTGATGTCGGGAAGTTCTGCGTCCAGAAACCGCTTAGTTGCCGAAACATTCGTGGCCTGCAGCTGTCCCAAGCTGGGAAGACACTGTGAAATTTGCTCAGCTGCTGCTTGGAATGGATGCGCGGGTGGAAAATTATGCGGATCGTTTACCACGATCCAGCACGAATTCTTTTCTGTTGTTTGCCAAGGGGGCGTGCAAAGCTCCGCGTTCTTTCAGTGCCATTGCGGATTTGATTCCTGCGCAATTGTCTGAGATCAAAAACTATGACATTAGGAAGTGGGAAACTTCCACAATCCGACCTGTTCTTCTTTGTGGACGAGTGGGGATGAGTTCAAACAGCGTTTTGATGCAGTTCTGCGGGAAAATTATGGATCTTTTGGCGGCCACGATATTCTTCCTGTTTGGTTTGAGAAAAGGTGGCAGGTACTGTGGAACAGAAACGAGCACAATCGGGATCATGGCATCGCACCACATAGTGATTACTGTGAGACATTCTCGTCGGATGGAGGCCCCATCACAAGCTTCTCATTTGGACGTGGTGGTATTCTCACATTGATGTCGCAGACATCTGGCAAAGGTGCTTCAAAGATGCTGTTTCAGGAGCATGGAGATGTGCTGGTTATGGCAGGGAAATTTCAGAAGGATTTTTTTCATGGAGTTCCTGAGCGCACTGTTTGGCGGGATTTGTGTGCTGGCCAGGGTTCGGGTTTTGTTTCAATGGAAGAATGGGAGAAGAAAGGTGTGCAGCATGAAATAGCTTTGCATGACAGCGCAGATGCGGAAGAGCAGCACTTGCGTTTCAATTGCACATTGAGGTGGCATCACACGCATTGGAAGACGTGCCCTGAGTATGTGGCTCCGTTGGCGGCGATGGGTGTTGTGTCCTCACCAGTTGTGTCTGGGTTGGACTTGCCCAAGCAGTCTTCTGGGTCTTCAAGTGTGTCTGCATCACAGCCTCTGCTTGGGATCAAGAAGCGGCTGGTGGAAACTTCAAGCGAGCCCAAGCCTAGGCATGTGATTCAAGCGGAGAAGGAAGAGGAGACAGAATTACTGCAGAAGTCGCAGAAGACTGTTAAGGTCGTGTTGGAATGTCTGGGGCACTATTTCGGGTCAGTGTGATATTTTCTGGCAGCTGCTGCAATCATTGCCATTGGTTGATGCACGACGAACGCATCAGGAGTCATTGGCCCGCAAGAAGAAACTACTGCGCCCGCGGCGCACTGGCGAAGCTTTGCGAAGCCATCGGAGGCAATGGCGAAAAAGGTTGCAGAGTTCGAAAAGTCTATTGGCGGTTTCAAGGGAAGAAGAATTTGCCAATGTGACGGAGCACGCAGCAGATGCCAAAACTTTGTTCTTCGTGGAACTGGTTCATGCTGACTTCAAAATTGATCTGAAGATTGGAGATGAAACCGAGAAAATCGAAGTGATTCGCTGGCAATTTCCTCTTTTGCATGGCATGTTGCGCACTGCTTACAGTGCTCAAGGCTTGACTCTGGATGGAGGAGTGGTGCTGGACTTACGTCGCGCGGGCGGGCTGGAGGATTCTGACTGGTGGCTTGCCATTTACGTCGTGCTGACACGTGGAGAATCTGATCTTGTTGGGGTTTACGGACCAGGTAGAAGAGCTTCTGCGCAGGGGTCCTCCTCCGTATCTGCGACAACTTACTGACAAATTGGAAGCCAAAGCTGCTTTGACCTTTGAACGCCTCCGGTGGTTGCCTGCCTATGATGGACAGTAATCCTGCGCTTGTTGTGACCTTACTAGTTTCGTCCAGGTCGGTCTAATGGCGTCAGCATGCTGTGATAGCGGTGAATGCGAACCAGATGGTGGTTGCGAAAAGGTAGGTGGATCTCTCTCATGCTGAGCAGTTGCAGAGAATGTAGTGTAAGGATTTGTTGTGCAGTTGGATATCAGGTCTCTGCTTTGCTTTTCTTTTTGTCTTTTGCAGGGGGTGTGTATGCCAAGACGGTTTTACTTTGGTTTGGCTCTGCAACTACTGATCAACCTTGCTTTTGTACTCGATGAATTGAGCATCTCATCTTCTCATGAGCTTGAGTTAGCTATGTGTATCAGATGCTATGAACATATCGCGCTAACCAATACAAACGTATAACATCAACATCATGCACGCCTGCTCAAACACTGGATAGAATGTCTAATAGAATGCCAAATAGTTTGATGCTAGCTATGTTTAATTACAGTGGTGCCCACTTGATTTGTTTTAACTGTGACCATGGCTATGCCTGAATGGTGCGAAGACTGGTTGCAATTCGTTTTGGCGAGCTTTGAGAGAGATACAACTTTGATAGAGGCTGCAGATCGAGCGTGCTTCGTATTGGAAGTACTTCTTCGTGTTCTTGGTCAGCGTCCGGGACTTGAAGATTTGTCCAAGATCTAGGGGCTGCTGCGGTTATGCCAATATTGCTACGACTTCTTTGGCCCTATTTCACTGCCACTCTTGAACATGATGCTCGAAACAGCTGTGTGACCTTGAGAGCATTTCCAAATAGACATAGACTTTTTGATGGCTTGCACGGATGTTTCATGCTATTGCAACAGTTGATCCTGTGGAGCACTTGCATGTATGGCCACACTTGGCAGAAGCAATGCTTGTGGTGGAAGATATACTAGCTGCTAGCTGTTGTGATGACTGGTAATCCTGCTCCTATGTGATGACTGGTGATCATCGGTGCACTGCTTGTAGGCTTT